CCACTGGGTTCATTCCATGCCTCCACTCTCCCCATCCACCAGCTCAAACCCTTCACTAAGAAAAAAAATGCATATATATTAATATAATATTTGCCTCTGCTTCTTGGCCTTGGGAGTCTTTTGAGCAGCACCGAGGGGGGCTGCACACACAGCAGCCCAAAGGGAAGGGCTGCAAGCGCCCTGCCCTCCCTACCCACAACCAACCCCCAAACCAGGGTGCAAAGGGCACCCCCGGCTGCCCGGCTCTGCCCGCCCGGCGAGGCCAAGCGCTGCCCCGCTCCCTGCCGTGCCGCCCATCATAAAGAGGTCCCTGAGCTGTTATCAGGCAGTGACAGTTTCCGCCATCGGATTCCTCCTGTCCGTCAGGAAAGCTAAATAAGGAACATCGTTCAGGCGGCTGCAGGAAGAGGGGAAATGCAGGGACATCCGGCCCAGCTGCCAATTTTTCCTTTCCCATGAACCACCGCTGACCTCCACCAGGGAGAACCTGGACACCGAGCCTGGCACCGGCACTGCTCGTCTTGGCTTAACCCTTCCCCACGGAGCTGCCCAAGGTGTGCCCATGTGTGCAGCCGTGGGGGGACAAGGTGGGCGCTGTCACCGCCACCAGCACCGCACGCCAATGCTGGCTGGCTCCTACCCAACCACGTCCAGGAGGAGGTTTAACCCCTACACACGAGGTTTGGCCTCTCTGATGGGTCTTTAGAGCATCACTGAGCTGCTCTGGTTCCTTACACGCGCCTGCTCGCTTCCCCCTGCGTTGCGCTGTGGGTGGTTGCAGGGTTGAGCTTATTTCCTTGCTCAGCCTTCTGCCACCAGGCTGTGGTTTCAGTGGTTTTCCAAGCTCTGCGGAGAGCTTTAAGCAGCTCTGGGCTGCCTGCAGGAAGGTAAAAATCTCATCTGTTCCCTTCATCTCTGCTCACACCAGGGCTCTCTGCCCATCAGCACCTGAGGACAAAGACCAAAAGGGTCTGCAGCCCTTTTTTTGGGGATACCCCTGGGGTCCTTGCTCCTTTCCCTACAGAGAAAGTTTTTTTGTTTTGTTATTTTGTGCTCAGCCAGAGAAGCACTTGCTCAAAATATCTGACTGCCTTTCCCCACCACCCCGTCCCGTATGTCCAGAGTCTTTTCATGACCCCCTAAGCTGATCCTCCCTCATTAGTGCATGACGTCCGTCCCACGGCACCTCCAGGCTTGGCCCGCAAAGGCAGCGCTGGAGATGCTCGCCGGGGGGAGGCGGGGGCAGAAACGCAGCAAGAAAAACAATTAGCACGTGGGAGAAGTTGTAAGGTGAAATACAAGTCACTGGCTGAAACCTGTTTCTGCTACCTCAGCATGGAAACGGCTCCAGGAGAGACTCCCTGGTTAATATTCTCTGCTTATAAAACTCAGGGGGAGTTTCGCCACCGGCTGCCGCGGGGCCAGGCTTTCACCCTCCCCGTGCTGAACTCGCACCTCGAGCCCGAGAGCTCTGCCCGCGGCTGCTCCACGAACACAAGCGACCAAACCAGGCTGTGGGGCCCTTGCCTCCTCGCCGACTTGACCGCGGGCCATCTCCGCTTCCACTATTTCACGTGAACAATGAGGCACCGCAGATGGGCAGCAATAATACTTTGTGCCGAAAACATCAGAACTGTTTTGACCGGAGTGAAAGAGCCCCCCTGGGATCCGGAGAACCCTCCCTTGTAACAACGTGAAACGAGAAACAAAGGTCTGGGGTAGCCAGAGGCAATAAAACCCTGGAATTAATTTAACCAGGCACTAGATGCCAGTGCAGCTGCAGCAGGGTTTCTTTTGCTAATGAAGGGCTAAAGATAAGCCCAGCCCCGGTGCGGGGCAAGGCTCAGCCCCAGCCCCATGCCAGGTTGGGGGTTTCTCCGTGGGACCCTCCTGGAGCTGCGTGCCAAGATCCCACCGGGTGGGGAGAAGCAGGAGCTTGAGGCAAGACACATCCCAGGTGCCTCTGTCCCACATGGTGCCAAGCTCCTCATCCTCCCACCGCAGTGACCCACTAGGAGCTGCTTTCTCCTGCTGAGCAGGGATTTTTGCAGCCCTCCACGCCATGCCCAGCCCGTCCTGCCCAGCGGAAGAGCCCTGTGGTGTTTAGTCATTCCCCACACGGAAACCTCAGCTGCTCTCCTCCACTCACGGGCAGTGGGATCTGGCTGTTGCGGGGCTCTCTGCTTCACCCTGATCCTGCAGGACCCCCTGGGATCCCCATCACCATGGGCTTGCTGCAGCTGTGGTTGGTATAAATACCCACCTCGCCCCATTGCTTGGGGCTGTTTCATCCCAGCAGCCTAACTATACAGATGGAGGTGATGTTCATTTGGAAACTCCTCCATGGGGTGAACCCTGTCGGGCTCACGCTGCTCCCCAAAGCCACCGAGACCCTGGCACCCATAAAATCCTCAATTCTTCAGCAGCCATTCTGCAAAGCGACACCCCAAGCGCCATAGATGCCTCTCACGGCACTGGAGAAGCGGCTGCCAGGCCACGGCCCCCTCCTGCTGCCGTTCCCGTGGGATCCCACTCTCCTTTTCCCTCCCCAGGAACTGCCCCGGGATGCTGGGAACAGCGTGTTCCCTCCTGGCCGGGAGCACCTGCCCTTCCCACGCCTGCCCTGGAAAATTCTGCGTGGCTGCGGGATGCAGACCTTGCGTGGAGCTGAGCGCACAGGCGAGGGGCAGCACGGGGTGGGCCACGCTGCAGGAAGCCCCCTCCCACCCAGCCCACGCTGGCCGGGGACATTGTGCTGCTGGGGGTGAGTAAAACCCCGGCCAGATGTCAAATCGAGCTCAGCAACAAACATCCTCGTGGCTGTTTGTGCAGGCAGCGAGCCGCGGGCTCGCGTGCCCAAGCCAAATCCCAGGGCGGTGATAGCAGCCCATTCATCCAAAATTATCCTTAAGCGAGCAGCGGGGCACGAGGGCCCCCTCCCCAATCCCCACAGGCTGCAGCCCTCCCATCACCACGCCTCCCGAGCTCCGCTTCACCACCACCGAGTGACCGGGGTCAAGCAGAGCGGGGCTCGTTGCGCACGCTTGGGCTTTTGCGTGAAAGGGTGTTGCTGGAACGGCCCCGTGTTTATTGCTCGCAATAAAGCCACCGCTTCGGATCCCAGCTGCGAATGCAAATGTTGCTGCTGGCACGGCCAGGCGGGGCTGTCGACGCACCCGGCCGGGGAGGTCCACAGGCAGCAGCCGCCAGCACATTCGGCTCAGGTCCTACAAAAGCAGGGCCCCTTCCCTCACACCTAGGGGATATGGTGCTCCACGCGGTGAGGTTGTTTGGCTGAAGGGTGGCCAGCAATCCTCTGCACCCACACCATCGTGGCTCGGTGCTGGAGCCCAGGAATGCATCCCCAGGATGCTCCCCCCATCACGCTGTTTTTTCCAAGGGGAGCACCCCAGCTCTGCTCCGTTCCAGGGGCACCACGGAGCTGGGGAGCAGCAAGAGCCCATCCTCTCCCAGCTATGGACCCCTTAGCAGGGTGATGGGGTGCAGGAACAGGCAGGATGCACAAAACAGAGCCAGAACAGACCCTTCACGGCCCCCAGATTAACTATTTCATCCTCCCCAGGTGGAACAATCTCAAATACACATCCCTATTTCTAAGAAGGGCAGATATTTGCACCCAGCTGGGAGGACATGAGTATACACACCAAAAATTGGTCTCAGGTAAAACTGAAAAAAAGGCAGAGAAAGGGGGCTTCAGTTTCCCCTTTGAGCTCCACGTTGCCCTTCACCGCTGCACTAATCAGGCAGTGCTGGAGAGCTTCAAAGCCCCGCACAGCCCCATGCTGATGAAACCCACACCTCCCGCAGCCACACGCCGGCCACAGCCTCTCAGGCACAGCTCCCTGCACCTCTGGGAGATGAAAGGACCCGAGACAGCCACACGCTGCTTTACAAATTGCTAACAGGAGAGCTCTGAACAGCTGCAGCTCCCGCCGCGATGCCACCAGCAGCGGGTCCCTGCCTGCTGCAAGCTCCCCAAGCTCTTGCAGCCCACCGTGGCACAAGAGCCAGCTGTGAGGGTTTTGGGCAGAGCAGGGTCACAGTCCCAATTTCTGCCCGTACCACCGCTCTGTACCACTGCGGCCAGACCTGCAGCCCGCCCGCGAGCTCGTCTCGACGACAGCAGCAAACGCCACTGGTGACAGTGAGTCACTGAGCTGAGGGGAGAGAAAATTCCATTTATACTCCCCAAATCTATTTTTCCAGGTTCTCCCTGCACTGCTAACTTTCTCCTCCTGTAAATTCTTTACCCACGCGAGCCCACCCGGCTCAGCTCTGCCCCACGGCCCCCGCTCCCCAAAAGGGCTCCGCAGCCCCCTCTGTGCCGCGGTGCAGCAGCCACCTGAGCGCACACAGCCCCGGGGATTCAGCTCGCTGCCCACCAGCCTTTTCCCCCAGCGCTGTGGGAAGTATTTCACCAGCCACCTGCCCTGGGGGGCTTCCCAGTGGGGAGCAGAGCCACCAGCAAGCGGCTGGGGGGGACAGCGGGGAGAGCGCAGGGCGCGCACCGACCACCGCCTCCCGGTGCCTTCCTCCCCAGCGCGCTGCCCGGCGCTCCCCAGCGATGCCTCCGAGTACGAAACAGAAATAAACCGGGCAGGGGAGTCGGCCTCCGGGTGCTTCCCCACGCGGAGAAATCCCTGCTCCGAGAGCCCCACGCGGTTCCTTCCCGCGGGAGGTGCGGGGAGGTGGCGGCGTCCCCCCGTCCCCTGCGTCGGGGCCACCGGGCGGGCACCGGGCGCGCCCCGTCGGGGCTGGCGGCCACCGGGGCGGGACGCGGCGGGGCTCGGGGATCCCGAGGAGGGCAGCGCCGCTCCCTGCCGGCTCCGGGAGACACCCGGAGGGGGGACACTCCCGGTGCCCGTCCCGTCGGGGCAGCCCCATCCCCGCGTCCCCGGCTCCTCCGCAGGTGCCGGGCGGGCAGCCCGCATCCCCCGGCCGGAGCACGGAGCCTTCGCGGCTCCCTGAGCGCTGCTCACCTGCCTCCGAGACAATGCCGAGCCAGAGCCAGAGGGGCAGCGTGCAAACTCTCTTCATCTCCGGGGCTGCGGGCAGGCGGTGCGGTGCGGAGCGGTGCGGAGCGCCCCGCGCCCGAGCTCTGCTCCCGCCGCGCCCCAGCTGCGGCGACGCGCGGCGGCGGGCGGGGAGGGAGCACCGGGGCCGTTTCCTTTTCCTCCGCCCGCCCGGGCCGCCCGCCGCCCTCCGCCGAGCCCGCGGGGCGCCGGGCGGGCGGCGGGGCGGAGCGGGGCGGGGCGGGGTGGGAGGCGGCGAGGGGGGGGCGCACCTGAGGCTCCGGGCACCGGTGGGGCTGTGGGAGGGGGTGCGGGGGTGAGAGCATCCCCCCTGTGTGCATCCACACCTGTGAGCATCTCCTGTGTATATCCACACCTGTGAGCATCTCCCCCATGTGTATCCACACCTGTGAGCATCCCCCGCGTGCATCCACCCCTCCATGGGTGTTTGCATCCCACCCTGCCCCTGCCTGCCGACATCCCCCCACTGCCCTCTTCCACGCGTGCACCTGGGTGCGCAGCCCGAGCTCTCAGACCCAGGGAAGGCACACAAATGCCCTCTCCCATCAGCACGCACACGCCACATGTGTCTCGTCTTCATGCCTGCATGCTCCCCAAAAGCCCGTACCTGTGTGTGCACACCTAGGCACACAGTCCTGCACACCGTGGGGGCACCCAAAGATGCCTGCATGCATTCTCACACCCGTGTGCATGCTTGCACCTCCTGTGGGACAGCACTAGGGATACCTGCTCATGCTGTCCATCCACACACACTGTGATCAGCCTGAGGCAGCCCTGGTGCTGCCCAGCACCACTAAATGCCCCACACCTCACTGCCAGGGCACTCCCACACCCAAACACACAACCCCACAGCCGGACATCCACCCAAATCCATGCACCCCGTGATGCACCGTCTCCCGCAACCCCCCAGACACTCCTCTTTTCTCTCCTTTCCCCTTTCCAACCCATTTTTCACACCCTGGGACACGCTCATCTCCCTGCAAGAGGACGGTGGCAGCGGTGGGATGCCAGCTGGGCCTGGAGGCACTGGGTGCCGCGGTGCTGGCAGCGGGATGGCATGGCATCCCTGTGTGCTCCCCTGGCTGGCTGCAAACGGGCTGTGAATGCCCTGAGGTCAGGAGCGATGGCACAGCTCCGGGAGCGTGCTGGCACGGCGGGCACAGCACCAGCATGGTGGGCACAGCACCAGCACAGTGGGCACAGCCCCTGCTGCCTGCCCACATGCCCACCGAACACCGAGTAGATAAATAAACACGGCCCCATGCTGCGCCCCAGAGGGTTATTGATTATACACGCTTGTAGACACTCACACAAAAAAAGGGAGGCTGAATGAGAACCATGTGCTCGTGGCTTCTAAAAGGCAGGAAAACTTGTTGTGTGCTCAACTGCTCTTGCTGCCAAACCTGTGGAAGGGATCGCCCTGTCCCTCTCCTGGCGCTGTCAGAGGGAATCCAAGCCACGGTGGTTATTTTACCCAGCTCCCCCCAGCCCAATTAATTAGTTTTTAACCCTGAAGTTGCTCTCCAGCACACTCATCTTGAACCACCCTCCTCCTCGATCCTGAAGGAGTAGGAAGGTGTTGGTGTCCCTCCATCCCAGGTGGGTGCCAAAGCCCGTGAAGTTTCTGGAGGGAGATTTTGGAAGTTCCCCAATGGCGATGGGACAACGGGGCAGAGCCGAGGGGCAGCACCACCGTGGGGTGAAGAGCTGAGACTGTGGGATCAGGTCCTCGAGACTGAGATCAGAGATGGGGCAGCACCCACTCTGGGGACCACAGCGAGCACCTGGCAGCGGCCGTGTGCCTGAAGCATGAGCAGGGAGCGGGGAGGCAGCGAGGTGTGCGTGGGGACAGGGGAATGAATCCCATTGCTCCTCTATAGGGGCAAGACGCCAGACGAAACGCACAACCCAAGGGCTGCCTGGAGAACCTGAGTGTAAGAAGAGTCTGACCCGGGGCCGGGGGGTTCCTCTGCCACCCCAAAACTTCGGGGATTTTGGCAGCCGGCTCCTCTTGTCCATTGCAGTCCGGGCGGGGAGCTGCCCGTCCGTGCTGCCATCTAACGGCAGGACGCGGGGGAGGGCTCAGCCCCGCCGCAACGGGGAATTTTCCATCACAAACACAGGGTGACTGTGGGACCGATGGGACCTTTCCATTGTTGCCGCCCTGGGAAACAAAAGGATCTTATTTTAACATCTTGCCCCCCTCCCAGCACAGGGGGACGGGGCACCCAAGGGAGCAGCTGCTTCCCAAAAGCGCAGGGTAAAGGACACGGACACGTTGCACGGACATGTCCCAGCCCGAGACGTGGCTGTGCAAAAGCCAAACTGGGGTGGCTCTGAGCACACCCAGGGACAGAATGACAAGGTGACTGTGAGGAAAACGCAGCCGGTTCCTGGGGCAGAGGGTGCTGGAGCAGAGGTGGGTGCTTCTCACCCTGCTTGCCCCGGGGCCATCCCCATCACGAGCCCCTCCTGCCCAAACCCAGGGCCAGGCCCTGCGGTCACTGCCCTCACACCGAGCCTGGGGTTTCTGCTTCATTTATTAGTGAAACGTGTTTTTGAGATAGCACCGAGGGGCAGGCAGTATTTACGCACCAGGCTAAGGCTGCACGTAGAGCAGCTCCGAGCAGAGGTCTCCCTGCACGTACAAGCACAGCACCCGTGCCCCTCCTGGCAGGGCCAGGCGAGGATTTACATCCCAAAACGGGGCTGGGAGCAGCACGCTGTGGTCACAGGAGGAGGAGGAGGAAGGACGTGCTTCCTCGGGAGCTGCTCAGCCCGGGAGTTGGAGAGAAGGAGGTTTTGCTGCTCGCCAGCTCTGCCGCTGGCACCGGGGAGGTGTAGGAGGTGGCAGCGATGGCACACGTCGCAGCGAGCTGCTCGCAGCCCGTGCCGCTGCAGCTACACATGGGAAGCACGGGAAGGGGTGAGCAGCAGAGCCGGCTGCTTCCTCCTCCTCCTCTTCCTCCTCCTCCTCCCCGCCGGCTGCGCTCCTCTCCTGCCAGCACCGCTGTCACCGCGCCCCAGGGCCAGCTGCCACTTCGCCTGTGGTTTTGTGCAGCTCAGGGACGGGCTGGGTTTCAGCAGCACAGCTGCCTGAGCATCTGGGGACTCATCCTGCGTGGGCCATGCCCTGCTCTCTCCAGCTGAACGCTACGTGCCCTCCTGCCCTGGGACGGGCATTAGGCAACCCCAAAACCTGGTACGTTCCCCCTCCAGGAGCCCAAGGCTGCTGTACCCCAGGGGAAGTGTTTCCAGCATGGGACTCAGGTGAAGCTGTTCGGAGGGCTGCAGAATGCTGGTTCCTGCTGCCAGCACTGCTCACACCTGCTTTAAAGAGCTGCAAAAAGCTGAAAGCCTCAGCAAGGTGTTTGGGGAATGCTTCCAAAGGGCTGGCCAGGCACTGGCACCCACTGCTCCTAAGTCCAAACCCCTTGTTGGGATCTGACAAGCACCCAACCCCCCCAGCTGCTTGAATGCAGAAGAACCCACCCTGCCTCCAGCACTCGCCCCAGCCCAAACACTGCCAAACCCTCGCCCCCACCCTGAGCCCCCCGGAGCTTTGTGCCCCCCGTGCCGCAGGCAGAGGGCAGCCGCCCGGGCTGGAGCTGAGCTGCTCTGTGCCCCGGGTTGTGCCGCACCCCAGCAGGGCAGGACCCTGCAGACCCCGAGTCACCAGCAGGCACAACGGGAGCCTTTTAATGATCGTTAATGCTCATTAAAGCGCTGTGCGCCGAGCTCCCCCTGCCGCCAGCCCGCTGCCCGTCCCCAGCGCGCGGTGCCGGCGGGCGCAGAGCAGCCGGGGGCACCCCGTAACATCGCCCCCCCCCCGGCTCTGCAACCACCTCCCGCGGCCTTTGCTGCTTTTACACATGAGAACAGAAGCAGGGAAGGGCTGGCAGCCTAAATCCCACGTGAAGGGGGATTTTCTGGGACACATCACTCCATTTCCTCCAGTGCTCGCAAGGCGCACTGGGCTCACGCTGTCCATCCCATCGCTACAGCAGGGGCTGAGGAAGGGGCAGTAACTCTCCAAAGGTGAAGAGCTGGGACATGTCCCTGGCTTCAGAGAAGGCCACGGTGCCCTCCTGGCAGCCCAGGAAGACCCCAGCTTTCGGGGAAGCAAGGTGTACCCAGGGGGTGGCAGTGGCCCCGGACTCTGTCCTGTTCCTCAGGACTCCACGCCCAGGAGCCATTCTGGCACAGCCTCATCTTCACCACCCCAGTCCACAGTTTCGGCAGCCACCCCCAGGTCCTACTTGGTCCTGGCCTCCCACCCACACCTCCCAGTAATGCTGGTCACAGTCAGAAGAGCACAGCCCAGGATGCTGACACACTGCTGGAAGCGCTGGGGGCCCCTGGGGACAGGCTGGGCTCATCCCCGCTCCATCACTGCCATCAGGTCTTCGGAGAAAAGCAGCTGGGGGGGGCTGGCTCAGGGTCAAAGGTGAGTGTGGCTGGAGCTGTGAAGTCAAGCACCGTGTTTGCAGATTGTGAATTCCCTCTGCAGAGCATCACCAGCCCCTCAGCTGCATCCCGCTGCCCCAGAGCATCCATCCCTTGCACCCCAGAAGATGTAGTGCACGGAGCCACCGTGGCTGTCCCTGTAGTGCTGCAGGTCAAAGGCTGGCACGGTCTCAACATGCATGTTCCCCAGGGAGCACGTGCTGGGGAGCAGCCCCCTCCCGGCACAGCACCAGCTCTTTGCTGAGCAGTTTGTGATGCTTTTAAAACTCGAGATAAGATCCCTCTCCCACCTGGTCCCAGCCAGGGACAGAGATAAGCTCCTGAAAAGGGAATCAGCTTCTTTCATGCCAGGCATGTACCTGATAGCCAGGCTCTCCACCTGCAGGGAGGAGCAGAGAGAATTAGCAGTCACCGTCTGCAATTCATGCAGCTGCACAAATAAACCCCTTGTCCTGCCTCCTGCTGTCACAGAGTGGAACCAAGCCCCCAGGACCCAGCCACCATGGGCGAAACTGGCTGAGCACTGAGGCCGAGGTG